GCTGTATGCTGAATGTTAATGTTCTTTTAGTGAATAAGCTGATGTGCCAAAAGCTTGGTATTAGTAATTTAGCAAGTCATGCTTACTTATTTGAATATTTGAGATATGAACATAATCTGCTGAGAAAGATGTATAAAATGTGCTGTAATAGTAAAGCATTATTAGAATTGGATAATGCAGTTGATTTCTAAATTTGCATGCATGAATAGGTGGTGATAAAATGTGTTTTTGGTGGTGACAATATTTGCTCTTATAGGTGTTAGATTGGTCGAGATCAAAATGTACAAAATCACCAATGTAGTACAAATTATGCATGTCAGCATGACATTTTCTTTAACTTTACAGATTAATACATCAGGTGAACATTTCTTTTATTAGCATGTTTTCTTGCATTCTTTAAAGAATTCATACAAAAACATGGCACATTGCCTGGGACATACTGACGGTAGAATAAAGGTCAATGAATCAATCAATCCAGGGCAGACCGTCATTCCATGATGGAGGAACCCCTCCCTGAGCCGTCTCTACAATAAAGGTCACTAGTAATGTTTAAAGGTGCAAAAAAGTCACAAGTGCGTAAGAAAAGTATGCATGCTCTCAACACAGACAAAGCACACTGCATCGAATATTTGTAGTTGTACACGTAATATTGTATGCTTATTAGCATAGGCTGGACCAATGTCAGCATTTTAATGGTCTTCGAGAAGTCTTGTGGTCTTGTGCAAACAAGTGGGATAAGCCTGTAAAAATGCATAAAAGTGATAAAGAATCTTAAAGATTATGCGAGACATAAAGATCAATGCAGCAGTCAGGTGTCAGGACAGAGTTGATAAAGATAAGAAGCAGTTATTCAAATTTAGAATGTAAATTGCAAAATAGTTGGGTTTATTTTGTGTTCAAACAAAGGTTTGATTGAGGTGAAACCACTGCCTTCCCCTGTGTTTCCCAGTTAATTTAAAGTAAGGGATTTAACTAAAATGCTTTTTTCAGCCAAGTTTAGATTTAAGAGAGTTGAGATCGACCCCCATCTTACTACTGTACTATGTGTACTTCAGTGGCTTAAGTTTAATATTTCATCTTCATAACAAACTAGAAAAATTACTGAAAACTTTTTTATTAAAATTCAAAATACTTATAAAAAATATCTACAGTTGTCTTTACAGTGAACACAAAAATGGACTGAAAACATTCAATTAATTATGTACAAGACAGTAACTTTGACGTGACAAGATGATAACTGAAATGGTAATGGAATAATGATAATAATTATCACAGCCATACCCGCCACCTTGTTAATTTACAATACAATTATAGCTCACTGGGATTTCTTAAGGACAACATTAATGGTCAACAAAAAACATTAAAATTGACCATATGACGGCCATACAAACTGTAACCACCATGTTGTCATGGTGATTGTAACAGACTTGCAAACATGTGCAAAGTCCAACATCTGCTCCTTGTACAGGAGGGTGTTTGGTAGTACAAGTACACACTTATACAAAAATAAAAAAGACATTCCCATATATACATAAACTTTGTGCTCTATATGAAATTTTCAATTTCAGTCATAAAGGCAAAACAAATGGAATGAGCCTTTGAATCTAATGTCTAAATGTGGTAACATTTCAAATGACCACATCATATCTTAAAAAAATATTTGATCACAAGCATTTGATCATAATACAGCCAAATAACAAATAACTTATGTACACTTGTATTAGGCTCCTTGCAGTCCAGCTGCTATATCTCATCCAGGAATATTTCACAAAGTAGTCTGTCTTTTAAGTCTTTCAATCTGCTCATTTGTCTCCTGTCTTTATGCTACCTGCCAGCCATGTGCATTTTTACCAAATTTGTAGACAAGACGACGACCGTCAACTCGTTCCAAAATTCCACGCTTGTAGTAATACCTAGAAGAAATAGAAGAAAATATGGACATGAATGTAAGGCACAGATGATAAAGTATGATTAATATCACAGAGCACAGTCCACAGTAAGCAAAGCCAGGTTGGATTAGATGAGAGAGGAGGGGCAGCGGATATACTAAATAATATCAAGCTAAAAATAGTATAACTAAATAAAAAAATAAAATTATTATAACTTCCAAATCAATCTGTTTTTAAATGACTTAAAAAGGAACACCTCAACCTCTTTCTTCTATTATTATATTAAATATAAAAAAGGAATAATAATAATAATAATANAATAGTGTGTGTGTGTGTGTGTGTGGGGGGGGGGGGGGGTATCACATTTGCCGTATGGTGGATTTATTGTTTTGTAACCAGACAGATATGATATCCAGATTACACTTTTAAAAGAATAAAACCCTGTTTTATAAACTGAGAAGCATTTTCAAATATCTTCATCATAATAAGGCTTAAAGTTATTTTGAATATCTTCTTCTAAATGTTTTAAAATTTTCATCAGAGAGCAAGGTTATAGTGTTGCTTTTACCTAAATGTGAAGAATTTTGGCTAAAAGCCGTTCTTTGTTTTCAAGTATTTTTTGCTTTTGTTTCTCTTCTCCCATTTTATTAGAAAACTGCAGTTTAAAAATATGCAACACAATTCTGAAAGGGTTTTTATTTTATTTTGGTCACAGACTACAAACTTGTGACAGTGTAATATGCAAATGTCATACATGTACCAGTAGATATATTTCATGGAAATGCATTTGTGAATTTTTAAATTGTTCTTTTGTTTGCCATTAGCTTTGCAAACGGGTAAACTACATATGTCACTGTCTGGCAGTTAAGTACCCAGTAAAGGAAGTCAGAAGTATACCAGGTAAATAGGCAAAATGTCAGTCTGTTTGCAATTTCATTGAAGTAATAAATGGCAGAAGGATAAGATAAAAACATGCAATTGTTCCTTGTATACTCCAAATTCCTAATATGTCACATATCATCTTTGCTACTATAATGAAAATACTTTAGGATAGCTTTGAAAACATTTTGATAAGATTGATCGACTTCACACAATCTGAAATGCCATGCTGCTCATCCGTTGACCTGCCCCCCTGGAGTTTATTTGAAGTTTGCTGAATGATACAATAGCAGTGTCATGGTCTGGTAAACCACACATTTTACTACAACTGATTAAACATATGTCTTTTTTTAGCTTTGTCATGTTGTGCCTTTCATCTCAGGTTATTCTTGTCAAATAAATATATAACCCTAAACCCAAACCTGTAACACTTAAGAATATTGTAAAATTGAGTTAATGAGAAAAATATTTCAATGAACATATATTTGAAGTAGCTCAAAGCCAACAGCTTTTTATGATAAAATAGTTGCCAGCCAAAATTAGATAAGATATATCTATTGACACCCATTATCTAAAACATGAATACCTAATCTACATATTGTCAACAAAAGCATTGCAAGTATGGGGCTGGGTAAATTCAGGTGTCTTGTCTTCACATTCCTATCACTGAAGTGCCCTGTTCTATCTCTGTAACCAGTATAAAAATACATGACCTGCAATTGTTGTCTGAAGCATTCAACTTACTCCAGATGCCAAAAAAATGTGTCTATTTACGTAGTGTTAGTAGATCAAAAATAAAATGTTTAATAGGCATATACAGTACATGCATGCATGCACTTACACGTGTGACAAGCATTACGCGTTGTAAAATATATATATATATATATAGCATGCTGTGTTTGCATTAGTACAAAGAATTTAGACTTGTTTGTGATGTTGTATTGAACCAGAATTTTTTCATTCTTACTGAAGTCAAAAACACTATTGACTGCATGAGGAAGTTATTTCTGATTGGCTGATACTTATTCATTATTCTACACATGAAAGATGGATTGCCTTTTGGGGATTTTTGCACCATTTCCCATAATTCCATCAGGATAGGCGTATAAATATATTTTTCTTTAGGCCTGATAAAGCTGTATGCTGAATGTTAATGTTCTTTTAGTGAATAAGCTGATGTGCCAAAAGCTTGGTATTAGTAATTTAGCTAGTCATGCTTACTTATTTGAATATTTGAGATATGAACATAATCTGCTGAGAAAGATGTATAAAATGTGCTGTAATAGTAAAGCATTATTAGAATTGGATAATGCAGTTGATTTCTAAATTTGCATGCATGAATAGGTGGTGATAAAATGTGTTTTTGGTGGTGACAATATTTGCTCTTATAGGTGTTAGATTGGTCGAGATCAAAATGTACAAAATCACCAATGTAGTACAAATTATGCATGTCAGCATGACATTTTCTTTAACTTTACAGATTAATACATCAGGTGAACATTTCTTTTATTAGCATGTTTTCTTGCATTCTTTAAAGAATTCATACAAAAACATGGCACATTGCCTGGGACATACTGACGGTAGAATAAAGGTCAATGAATCAATCAATCCAGGGCAGACCGTCATTCCATGATGGAGGAACCCCTCCCTGAGCCGTCTCTACAATAAAGGTCACTAGTAATGTTTAAAGGTGCAAAAAAGTCACAAGTGCGTAAGAAAAGTATGCATGCTCTCAACACAGACAAAGCACACTGCATCGAATATTTGTAGTTGTATATGTAATATTGTATGCTTATTAGCATAGGCTGGACCAATGTCAGCATTTTAATGGTCTTCGAGAAGTCTTGTGGTCTTGTGCAAACAATTGGGATAAGCCTGTAAAAATGCATAAAAGTGATAAAGAATCTTAAAGATTGTGCGAGACATAAAGATCAATGCACCAGGTCAGGTGTCAGGACAGAGTTGATAAAGATAAGAAGCAGTTATTCAAATTTAGAATGTAAATTGCAAAATAGTTGGGTTTATTTTGTGTTCAAACAAAGGTTTGATTGAGGTGAAACCACTGCCTCCCCCGTGTTTCCCAGTTAATTTAAAATAAGGGATTTAACTGAAATGCTTTTTACAGCAAAGTTTAGTTTTTAGTTTTAAGAGAGTTGAGATCGACCTCCATCTTACTATGTGTACTTCAGTGGCTTAAGTTCAATATTTCATCTCCATAACAAACTAGAACAATTATTGTCAATGAAAACTTTTTTATTAAAATTCAAAATACTTATAAAAATATCTACAATTGTCTTTACAGTGAACACAAAAATGGACTGAAAACATTCAATTAATTATGTACAAGACAGTAACTTTGACGTGACAAGATGATAACTGAAATGGTAATGGAATAATGATAATAATTATCACAGCCATACCCGCCACCTTGTTAATTTACAATACAATTATAGCTCACTGGGATTTCTTAAGGACAACATTAATGGTCAACAAAAAACATTAAAATTGACCATATGACGGCCATACAAACTGTAACCACCATGTTGTCATGGTGATTGTAACAGACTTGCAAACATGTGCAAAGTCCAACATCTGCTCCTTGTACAGGAGGGTGTTTGGTAGTACAAGTACACACTTATACAAAAATAAAAAAGACATTCCCATATATACATAAACTTTGTGCTCTATATGAAATTTTCAATTTCAGTCATAAAGGCAAAACAAAATGGAATGAGCCTTTGAATCTAATGTCTAAATGTGGTAACATTTCAAATGACCACATCATATCTTTAAAAAATATTTGATCACAAGCATTTGATCATAATACAGCCAAATAACAAATAACTTATGTACACTTGTATTAGGCTCCTTGCAGTCCAGCTGCTATATCTCATCCAGGAATATTTCACAAAGTAGTCTGTCTTTTAAGTCTTTCAATCTGCTCATTTGTCTCCTGTCTTTATGCTACCTGCCAGCCATGTGCATTTTTACCAAATTTGTAGACAAGACGACGACCATCAACTCGTTCCAAAATTCCACGCTTGTAGTAATACCTAGAAGAAATAGAAGAAAATATGGACATGAATGTAAGGCACAGATGATAAAGTATGATTAATATCACAGAGCACAGTCCACAGTAAGCAAAGCCAGGTTGGATTAGATGAGAGAGGAGGGGCAGCGGATATACTAAATAATATCAAGCTAAAAATAGTATAACTAAATAAAAAAATAAAATTATTATAACTTCCAAATCAATCGGTTTTTAAATGACTTAAAAAGGAACACCTCAACCTCTTTCTTCTATTATTATATTAAATATAAAAAAGGAATAATAATAATAATAATAATATTTTAATGCCAATCAGGCCACACCATGGAATAACTGTTATAAGGAGTTAGTAACTGACCATAGCTGCAATGAAGGGAAGGTTAAATATCTAATTTTGTGAAATAAACTATATCATGCTCACATGCAGCTAAGAATTAGTCAATACTAGTCACACGCCCTGTATTCAAGCCATGTTAGGGAGCAGTTAGTAGTAGACACTGTCATCAAGCCATATCTTGAAAATAAATTTGATATTAACCTAAGATTAAGCGCTGACCCCTGCCATCTCTAATCCTCCATCCAGCCAAAGGCCTTTGGCCCAAATTTGAAGCATAATTTCTTGGGGTACTTTCCATCTTTAGGAACCTCAGCAAAATACCCAGCTGATCGGGAAAACCTGCCAGGTTAGAAAAAAAATAACACCACCATCATATTTTGGCCATAACCAACTAGCAGAGCCCTCTGCCAGCCAAGGGACCACCTAGCTGAATTTTCTCCCTTAATGGTTGCATCTATGCCAAGAGAGAGACAACATTTACTGGGGAAAAATGCAGGTCATATTAACCAATTACCATACATGCCACATTACAACAACAAAAACAATACTCCAATTACAACAAGCATCCCACTGCTACACCGATATATGTATAGTATATTCCATTACCCTGTTAACCACATTTACCATAACCATCTGTAACATTTCTCTACAAGTTGCTCCGAGCTTCGAAATTATAGGCACCACTTGCAGAGACTTTACAGTTTCTCCCAAATAACCCATGCTCCATAAACCAAATTTCCAACACCTTTTATCAAAACTCACCTCATAGCTCTGCTCAACTTCTCATAAGTCATTCCTGGATTGTTTTTCTTGCGACCCCACATAGCAGCTACAGCTTCTGACTGAACAAAGCGGAAGACGCCATCTTTGCGGTCCTCCCACTTAATGAGTCTTGGGCAGTACATTGAGTTCTTAAGGATATCACGTATGAACTCCCAGAGATGATTTCCCTTTGCACCTGGAGTTAGAGAATTAAAATATAATAAATTCCATTATCAATACTTAAAAAAAAAGGAACATTTTTCAAAAAACTTTTTAATCTTCCAAAATTTTTGTTTAAGTTTGAATTTTTGGTATCTGTTCAGCATAGTGAAAAATCCACTCACTCTGGCCTGGTCTACGCCCCCTGTTCTGTGTTGGTGAGTACTCCCCATCTGATCCATCTTCGCTGGAAACACTTTGGCGAGGTTTCTTTGGTGGCCTTCCAGGGGGCCTGCGTGTGACTTTTCCACTGCCTGGTTGGGTGGGAGGCAAAATAGAAGTTATAGGTGGATACTGTTCAAAAACCTCTGGGTAACTTGTCTCCCCCCTTTGCAGAGACTCTGAGTCAGAGTAGTCTAAAAATAAATGAGACCAAAATGATTAACTATTTTGTTTTGATGTGAGATCTGGCTTGCCTACATCTAACCACAAGTTGAGGAAATAATGTGTACAACACTTCATTGATGCTGCTAAACAGGTCCTGTAAATCACCTAATTCATGTTCAAGTGAAATATTAGCATAATCCTCACCTTTTTTATTCATACATATTTGGCACATAAACAAATCATTATATTAACATACTCAACTTAAATGTTCACTAACTACACCTACCTGTGGTTGTGTTGTATCCTTCATCTTGGACCTCTGGGAACATATTAGGGTCAAAGTCATACTCCCTATCTCCAATAGTGTAAGTTCTCATTTGCTGCTCAAAGCTTGATAACATTGTACCTGTAAGACAATAAAAAAGATAAAGACCTGTGATATCAGAGTCTTAAGCCATACAACGTGCATGATAAGGCCTGACATAGCTAATGCACTAACTGTGACTCGGCACTCTGCCATTAACTGTCTGAGTCATTGATCATTATCCACTGATATATTCAGGTCTGACTGACTTGTCTTTTACTGTCTGTAATCTACTGCATGCTATAAGCTGTGCAATCAAGATCATCTTTTCTGTCCTCTGTTATTACAGTGACTGAATCAGACTTACCATCAAACTTTGGCTCATATTTTGTCTCATTTGTCTCCATCTGTTGCATTGGGAGTCCTGACAGCATGGGAGCTTCGTTGAAAAAATCTGGCTTGCTGAAGTTGGCTAAAAAAAAATAAATAAATAAATATAGCATATTAATACATGTCCTTCTACTGAGGTATTTTTAAAATCTACTGTAACTTTGCAATAAATCCCAAATATTTAATAATTTAATCTTTTGTAATCTTTTGTAAACTCTAATAATCCTGAACAAAAATAAATACATAAAACAGAATAAAAAATGTTACCCACCTCCTCTTAGGAGTTCATGGAAAAGGTCAAAGAGCTTCATTCCATATTCTGGGACAAGTCTCTCAAAATCTACACTGCTGAGTTGGCACAACTTGGCCCCAGTCATATTCTGGAAAGCTTCTCCCCTGAACCTGCAGAAGTCAACCTCCAGCTTGCCAGCAACATAGTAGACCCAGTCCAGGACTTCAGACGATGTCCAGTTCTTTGGATGTTTTGTTATCCAACTTAGAAGATTGCTCTGCATCTCTGTTTTAGTAAAAAGAAAAAGGTTAATATAGGTTGAATAGTGCCAATGTTACAAATACTCAGATTTGATTTTTCTTTTACAATGACACATGTGATTAAAAAAAGTGTAAGTTTAGTCACTTATGCAATTTTTTTACCTCTGGTATATGCATACTTAAGATTCCTACCACCACCTTTGATTACTGTGTTGCAGTGAGCCATTACAATGATCAAGTGATTGATATAGGGACATGTAAGTCATTTCAATGGATTGAACTGAAAGTGAAAACGTGACTAATCTACACACTTCAGACACTTTCACTTACTGTCTTCAGTAAAACAATTAACATCACTGGTCAGTGAAAAATTATCATGTGGGCAGATTTGGAAAGTAAAAGTACAATAAAAAAACAGACCATTGTTCACTGAAATGCAAACAAAAACTGATTCAGTGGAGTGTACAATGTCTTACCTGTGCTGGGCAGGGACTTCTTTTGTGGTAAAATTTGATCGTTGTTCATGGGCTGCAAGCACTCGTAGCTCATTGATTCATCATCAAGGGACTCGAACTTCATTGGCTGAAGGGCTGGCTTGCTGCTTTGGTAGTCCATGTCATAAAATCCAAGATCTATGTTGTCACAAAAGATTGAACTGTCGTCGCACAACTAAAAAGGAAAACAAAAAGACATGAAATGAAAGTGAGTGTTGAAAATGAATAAATAAATTAAATTAAACTTAAGTTGCCTTGTATATATTGAAATTGCTTAAGTATAATATAAAGTAGGAGCAAAAAAGAGAAGACAGTCACTTACCGAATGTACAGGGCTTGTGTGAACCATATTGAATATCTTAGTCTTTGTCTGCAAAAATATACATAATTATGTTAATGACATGTTATTTGCAGAAATTATCTATGCATTCTCTAAAGATCTCACTTGTAGATCTTGGTATAGAATTCCAGACAAGATTATTAATTATAGGATTTTATTGTATATCTTATCTATCTTATCTAGATGTAAGTACCAACTTAAATTACAGTAGTTATGATTTGACAGAGGGAGTAGCCCACGTACAGTATCTTATAAATACATATCTACACCTGCAACCACGCGCGCAATATGATAATATGTTATTTGTGATGTTTCAATTGTACTTTGATACATAATGAAATATAATTGCCGTATCGCCGTATTTAAAGGCAATTGAATAGAATTAAAAATAAAAAGTCCATTATTTACCTTAAAGTAAGCAACTCGTAAATCTTGAATCGTTTGCTCGTACAATCCTTGGTGCCACTATTAACCCTTAAATCATTAAAAAGTTTTGGTAAGTTCTTAACACCACGTCTTACTCGTTCGCTTTTGAGTCATGAATGTAACTCTTCAGACCAGAAACCGATTATAAATTCCACGAAAACGAAACGTCATAAGAAATTGGAAGGGGATTCCCCTTTTCCTGCTTTTCTACCCTCTGATTGGCCAGAGCTCCACCAATCAGCGTGCTGTATATGCTGGATAATTGACAAAACATGCTCGTCGCCCACTGCGGCAAAGCCAAGTACTAAAAATAAATCGATTCTGCGTAAACAGCTCCATAGGTCATTCCTTATATGGCACATAGTGCTTAGTAGTACCTTCACTTTCACTGCACCGCTCTCAACAATAAGTGCTATACATTTGAGCGCATAAGGCCAAAAGAAAATGAAGAAGATAGTGTATGAAGATTTTGCGTGTTAAACTTACTTCACGTTTGTTATATGTTTGAAAATTAATTAAGTTTTCAAGAGTACAAATGGTGCTCGTACATTCAAAACGTTTTTTTATCCGTTATCAAATGCAAATGACAGTTTGTGAGTGCTGCATATTCATCTCTACTGGTCTCTAATGGGCCGTTTCCTGGTTAAAATTGAAAATTATTTCATAATCTTTCATTATAGTCCGTCTCTCACTGCCCCCCCCCCCCCCCCCCCC